TTGCAAGGTCATTTTCTCCTTAAAAAACTGTGGAGCAAACAGCAAAAAGTATCCATACAAACCATTTTTACCACTTTATAGCTAAAATTGAAATTTTTACAAAAAAATAATTGCTAAATCCGTATCTTATATGTGTATCACATGGCATTCCAATGTTAGATTTTAGTTACTATGGTGAGTGACAACCAAGATTATGGAGAAGCCATTTTTCTCATTGTACAATCTAAGCCTGAAAGGGGGCTTTGTAGATAAGTAGCTTGGCAATCAAGTCATGCATGATATTTCTGATTAAAACACAATGTCACCTCTCACGGGCACTTGAAAGAAAAAAAGAGAATATACTACTATTTTTCAGTTTATCCTAAGAGGTGTTGTAATAAAAAAGAAAGATAATCGGTTCTAAGATGTAAATGAAAACGTAAAGTTTGTTGTAAAACTACAAAACTTACTAGGTCTGGCAAATGTCTGCCGATTGAAACAAGAACGGCTGACGCAGCTCTTTGCCAGTCCGCATTGAGCTCCTAAATCAAAGAGAACAATTCAATCATGCAAGTAGTTCTACTATGAGATCAACAGAGCATCATCAGGATGAAGAACACAAAAGTACCTTCGAGGATATGATTTCGGCCGTTGCAATCTTAGCAAGCTTAGCCATGAAAGGAGGGTCGACATCATCCTTGTCCAAGGCTCGAACACCATATGCCATTACTTGGAAAACCCCAGCCATGTTACCAAAACGCTGAAACAAACATACAAAAGAAACCGAACAAAAACCCAAATCTCACTACACATTCAAATTGATAAAAATATAAAAACAAACCATAACAAATGCAATTCCAAAAAAATAGACACAAAGGACTGAACTTTACCCGACGCCCTCCTCGCGATATTGCCGAGCAACAATCAAGCACTAGAAGAGGGTTTCTGCAAAATATCAATTGCAGTTCAATATATATCAGTGTACACATATAAACTCAACATACATACATATATATATATATAGAGAGAGAGAGAGAGAGAGAGAGAGAGAGATAGAGAGAGAGTACAGGGTAGCAACGTCCTTGAGGGAGGCAATGGAGGCCTCCCTGACGATGGGAGATTCATCAGCAAGTAACGAAACCAAAACTTGAACAGCCTCTGAGATCAGAGCTCACCAAACAGTCAAAATTACAATATCAGAGAGTCTCAATTCGGAGAAAAATTAAATAAAATATTAAAATTTAATATTTGATTGTTCAATTGGCAACTGAAAGTACCTGGAGCGGGAATTGAACTTCCAGAGCTCGAAGACGCCATTGAAGAAGCAGAAGAAGAAGGGAAAAAAAGAGGGATGGATGTTCGGGAAGAATACACACACAGTTTTAGAGCCTGCGGCAATTTTATTTCCCCCAGAAATTTTTCAACGGTAAACGGTAAATTGTTTTGCCGCACCAGATCTAAACTCCAATCGGTGACGCTTTTCGTTACGTGAAACGGAAGCTGTGGGGCTTTTTTTTTAACTCAATCGTCGACGTAAACGAGCCCAATGGTATGTGTGTGTGTATAACAAAGGAGGCCCACATTTGCAAACTGAATCTAACTCCAAAGAATTTGATAGATCAAGCAAGCACATTAACGGAACAATATTTAACAAGCGTTTGTGAGTGGCTGAAAATAAAATATTTACCATTTTTTCTTGCAACTATCTAAATGCAATTTATTCAAACAGTACATTTTTCTAAAAAGTCAGTAGCTTTTAGGTAAAGTTTTCAGCACAAATCTGCCATAACTTTTGGCATGATTCTACCGAAGTAGTGTTTCAGCAAGTGCTTACAGAATTCTTTAAACATTAGTAGATACCAAAGGAAAAAAAAACCTCCACCTTTTCGGGAGCTTTAACGAAAAACCACATTTTTACACTAAAAAGTAAATCCTAGCACTATTCACTTTACCATTTATTTTGCCATTTTTCGTTAAAACTTAAAGTTTTCAAACTCTTTTCATTAGTTTTCCCCACATTTTCGGTAGATCTACATAACTATGCTCGCTTTTTAATAAACATCTGTTGGACATTTAATAATGTTATTTTAGCATTAAATTTATTAATTGAATGGGAATTAGAAGTGGTGCATTTTAGTGAACGATATGTCTATACTAAAATGAAATTCAAATGAAAAGTTGCAAATTTTGACTTATGAATAGTTACATACTTTTCAAAGAGACGTCTCAACTTTTATAAATAGGAAAGCTCTCCTATAGTCGTAGATTCACTTTTTTGTCATTTGCATAATCATACATGTAGCGCACTACATATTAGAGTGTCGCATTGAGTCTATATGATAAAATATTCAACACAATCATGGTTCATTGGAGCCTTATAATTTGGAATGCTACTGTTACAAGGATGTGGTCATTTTATCCTGTAAGACAAGTCATAAGCATCGTAGTGTGGTGTAAACTTGTTTTAAGAACAAAATATCGAACATTTACCTCGACCAAATAAGGTGTTTCAAACCCAATTCTCTTAACATTGTTTATTATTGTTTGAAGCAATGCCGAAGACATGGCAGTACAAGTAGGAGCGGCTGCCCCTTTGGTCGTTGGAAAACCCCATGAAGAGCAAGGAATCCACCTCTCTGAACCAACACGGAAGGTATTTGACGAAATGCTTGAATGAAATTCAAGTCTATTGTCATTGTTGTGCTGTGTTGCTGCACTGCGCTTTGCAAGCTTGCAGCCAATGTTTCAACCTGTGGTGGAGGTGTTTCAATGGATTATTAGTTATCACAACCAAGATAATCTAGATGAAGCAAATAGGTTATTCAACGAACTACAAACTTTTGGTTTGTGTTTCATCTTTTTTTGATGAGATTTATATTGAGAATTACAATTGAGTTATCACAAGAATTACAAAAGAAAGACCAAGACATTGTGAAAGCAATGGTGTTAGTGGAATGCAAACAAAGACTACAATCCATAAAAGATGATGACTTTGAGGATTTGTTTCATGATGTATAAACGTTTTATGCAGAAAATGATATTAATGTTTCTAACATGGAATATTTCTATTTTGCACCCAAAAAATCAAATCATAAAGCTCCAAGACTTGCAAACGTCAATTATTATCATGTGGCCCTCTATTTTCAAGTCATTGATATGCATCTAAAAAAATTGAATGGTCACTTCAATGAGGTGAACTCCGACTTACTTCTGTGTATGGATGTTTGAGTTTGGTCCACAAATTTGCATCTTTTGACAAAAAAAGAAAAAAGAAAAAAGTTCATTTTGCCAAATTTTATCCTTAAGATGATTGTGTGGATTTCATGAATCTTCCAATTCAACTTGACAATTATAATCATGATGTGAAGATGCATAGTGAGTTTTTATCATTGAAAAGAATTATTGATCTTTGAAAAGAATTGGGAAGATCAAGAGGAGTGAAAGCTACAAGTATGTGTATAAGCTTTTTAATTGGCTTTTGGGGTTGTCAGTTTCAATATTGTGAAAACACCAATGTATAACAAAATGAGAGATAAATAGTTGAGTGGTAGCATGTTGTTTACATTGAGAGATATGTTTCTGCTTTTACTAATAAAAAGCATATTATGCGGCTTTTCATGACATAAAATCTCACCGACCACAATTGTTACTTCTTTTTATTGATAAATTATTAACAACATTAATATTATCTACTGTCTAAAAGGATTTGGTTGTCTAAATTTTTGTGGGGCATTTTACCCTTTTGCCCCCTCCCCCAAAAAATAATCATGGCTTCATCACAGGTTCGTAGGCATTAAATTGTTATTTATTTGCTTGAATTTTCCTTAATTTAGATGTGATAATATAATATTTAGATCCCTACTAGCAGTTGAGCCTGCGCGATGCGCGGGTTTCAAAATTGTGTTAAATGTGCGGAATATATTAAAATCTATTCACATTCATATCAAAATCAATTTATATCCTTACGTTCAATAAGAAGCAAAAGATGAGTGTTTGTAGAAATGTAAAGTTTAGATCTACTGGGACAAATTTAAATGACCTTGTCAACTGCTGCTTGTAAGGTAACATGATCTTCTCATTCATTAGGTCTCATCATGTGGAAAATTAAAAGTAGATACAAACCTGCTATAACGAAAAATAGACGAAACTAAGTCAAAATGTATGTATGCATGAGAGAAGCTTATTGACCGAAAAACCAAACTAATGACCCTAAACAATTTGACATGGAAAAAAAAAACAAAATAAAACATAACTTAAACTTTTCCCTGAAAACCTTGGATAGCTTGAAATGTTACCCTTATTCATTCTTCACTCTCCTATTATCCTACACGTTATCGGTGCGGTATACTGACGGGTACAACTTCAGGTATATATCGGGCTATGGTTGGCGAGACCACCGCGAAGGTTGGGACCCCTATTGGATCTTGGTGGAGATTGGATCTTGATGGAGAGAGGCTAACTACGACGTTCCTGACTGATGGACCCAATTTCGCTCAAGGTTGAATGAAAGGACCTGCGAGGACAAAGACAAACAAAGGATCGCGAAGCCGAGCCCGGGGAGGGTCGGTTAATCAGATCTGCTGCCATGCTTTTACAATGATTTAGCAGCTTAATTTTATCTTTCTGTTATGTTTTGTTTACGGTGGATGATGATTTCGGTCACATTGATGACCGATAAGTTCAATGGCTGGATCAGACAACCCATCTCACCGCCGGATGGGTTCCACTGGAAGTCCTTGGGGCGAAAACTAGAGAAACGATGCGATTATACCACAAGTTCAGGAAGCTAAATAGAAACTTTCACATGATCTTTGCTGAATTTGTTAATTTATAGAAATTACTATATCTTCGTACCAACTAATTATTATCTTTGTTAAATTTTAGGAGCATTGTAACCACCCTAATCACTTACATCCTTCCAAATTCAAGTTAACTGAAATAACCGCAAGGTTGTAAAATAGACATGCCTAAATTCTAGAACCATATAAATCCTTGCAGCACAAGAATCTACAGCAAACCAAATTATTAGTTGAAAATAAAAATTTCTACACACCGATACACAAATAGATATGGCATATGAAGTGCCCTTGCAGGCCCTCTTAGGGTTAGTGACATTGATTTTTCTTCCTCTGGTGGCTGATGTTGTCCATGCAAGCACTGCATGGAGACTTGCAACTAAATTATTGGAGGACGATGGACATGACATTCATACGGTTGCCCGCACCCACAACCGGCCAAGGTTCGGTGGTGGCCCTTGGAAGCATGCTCATGCCACATTCTATGAAGGCGGCCCGGGAACCTTTGGTATGAATTAATGCTACTTCTATATTGTTCATTGACAAGCTTTTAGGATTCAATGATCATCTTTCAGCGAATTAAAAAAAAAAAAAGACCTTGTTTAAAAGGATCGATTATGTACCAACTAGGTCTTACCTAGTGATTTTTTTTTCTTCTTACCAGTCAATGTTTTAAAAAACTAGCATTGACTAGCCTAGATGGCTTTTTGGGCGACTATATAAAGAAACACCTATATACGTTCACCAGGAATGGGCTATAAACTAAATTAGGCGTTGGGAGACAGCACCTAAGCACTTGGGCAGGGTTTGATTTTTTTTATTTATTTTAAAACAACCCAAACCCAAATCGATATAGCTTTTGGGCAGGGTTTTTATAAACGAAAACTCTTCTATCTTCTCCCACCTTTCTTTACTTCAAAATTTCAAGTCTCAAGCCAACTGTGCCAACCTTCAATCTCACCCGGCAACCTTCCACAAGTTCACAACAAATTTGTAATTTTAAATTTAAGGTTAGAGTTTCTCTCCTACATCAAGGTTAATGAAAAATTAATAATTTATGCTCCTACCTAGGCGAGGTAATCCATGAAGTCCTTGACTTCACCTTCGTCTTTTAAAACATTGTTCCCAATGTTAGAAAACATTTATAAGTTTGAATCCCACTTCCTATTGATGATAAATTAAAATCTAGAGAGAAATTTCAATCACAACATCTTGGTTCTCAAACAATAGACATGAGACCACATTTCAAATCGCGGCCATATTTCAGCCAAAACGCAAAGTTAGACAAGCATTTATATTTACAACTCGATCCCAATTTGATTATGTATTAAAGATGTGATCAGTTGCTTGTAGTGAGCTTTAAGAAAAACAGATGTAAATATTTTCCATATTCGAAGCAAGCTGGATTCTGTAATTTTGCTTTTGATCCAGTACTCGCCGTCAAAACGATCTTGTATTTTATGCAGGCAGTAGAGATCAAGAATGGAACTTGCAGAGTTCAAATTCTTGCCTTCCAAAAATTCACGATAACAATGCACGACTCATTAAGACGAAAACTTCACAATGTCAATTTCATACGAGCCGTGGGACGCTCCTAGGACATACTACTTACGATCCAATCACATCATTACCACGAACTAGTCATTTTTTTTTCATCTCACTTGGTTGTTTGGAAATTAATTAGAACAAGATGGTAGTATTTTGATGATGAGTACGTGCAGGAGGAGCTTGTGGTTATGAGGATGTGATAAAAGAAGGGTATGGCCTGGACACAGCAGCGTTGAGCGAGGCTTTATTCAACAAAGGGCTGTCTTGTGGAGCATGCTATGAAATCAAATGCGTCGACAACCCTCAGTGGTGCAAGCCAGGACAGCCAACTCTCGCCGTCACAGCGACCAACAACTGCCCCCCCAATTGGAACCAGCCAAGTGACAATGGAGGGTGGTGCAACCCTCCACGTGAGCATTTTGATATAGCCAAACCTTCGTTCATCAAAATTGCCGAGTACAAGGCCGGCATTGTTCCGGTCATGTACCGCAGGGTTCCATGCCTGAAGAAAGGAGGAATTAAATTCACAATAACTGGGAATCCATATTTCAACCAATTGTTGGTGTGGAATGTGGGAGGAGCTGGGGATGTGACCGGAATGCAAGTGAAGGGCAGCAAGAAGCTCAAATGGACAACGATGAAGAGGCTATGGGGTCAGAAGTGGGAAACGGACGCCAAGATGGTTGGCGAGTCATTAACCTTTCGAGTCAGAGCGAGTGATGGTAGATACTCAACCTCATGGCATGTTGCTCCAAGCAATTGGCAGTTTGGCCAAACCTTCGAAGGCAAGAATTTCAGGTAGAAATAAACTTGTAAATAATGTTAATGTTGTTTGATTTATGGGAAGTGATTTTCACATACCCTCTTTAGCTTTCCACACATTTTTCTTTATTTATAATTATTAAATTGAATAAATCAAACAAAATCAACATCCAGAATTAAACAGAAGTGTGTAAGAAGCTAAAAATAATGTGTGAAAATTATTTTCCTTATTTTTTAAAAATTATTTTCCTTATTTTTTATTATGTAAAATTGTAAATATTTGCTCTGTCGGAGATTTACCTCTCATCGTGTAAAAGAGAATGAAATGTTCCATGTATATAATATATATATATATATATATATATTAACAAACTGTTCCATGTAAAGTATAATTTACCTATTGTTTTATATGGTCAACATTTCCCGGTTAAGGATAACTTTTCAATCTTGGCAAATTTGTGGTTTCGTGTTATAATATTTCTGATAGCGAGGTTTTTATATCCACAATAGTTTTCGGCAAAAGTTTCGTCATGACGGATGTGTGCAGTGAAATCCAAGGTTTCATAGAGAGGATAAGACAAAATTTCAAATTAAAATTGGTCTTGTGACATAGCAAAAGAAATATTGTGGAACAATAATGTTATTCTTCTTACCATCAAATTATCACAATATAACATGGGATGTGACAGGGGCACGTTAAAACCCTAACATCTTACACCACATTGTCATTACACTTAAAACCTAACCTCTTACACCACATTATTTTAAAAATAACATTATTACCATCAAACTTTCTTGTAATGTGTATCAATTAATTTTTTTAAAGTTAATAATTGAACTTTATTTTTCTCTGCACCTTTGGTGCTATTCTTACCATCAAACTTTCTTGTAATACGCTCATTAATTTAAAAAAAAATTATTTATTCTTCTAGACACACTTTATTGTTGGAGAACAAAATGATCACCCCCACATACCACTTAAAACCCTAACCTCTTACACCAAATTGTCATTACCACTACCATTGTTGCCACCACCACCACACCACAATTGCACCATCATCACCACCACTACTGTACTTGCCACCAGTACCACCATAACCACAACTCCCACTATATCCTTGTCACCACCCCCATCATCACAACCATAAACACAACTGCCATCACAACCACAATTGCCACCATTGTCGTTGTCATTGCATTTACCACTATTGTTACCTTTGCAGCCCAACCACCACACCTCTTTATTGGCACCATCATCACAACCATTATTCTTGCCACCGTTGGCGTAGTCAGCGCCCACACTATCATGTCCATTTTTGTCATTATATACAATTGTATCACTTTTATATTAAAATTTGCCAAATCTTTTTCAATGTTCTAAAACGCGGTCTGGATGGCCTCCTAGGCACTGGGCGTCAAGCCACCACCGTGATTATTTCAAAAACGTTTAGTAAATCGACAAGGGTAAATGTGAGAGAGATATGTATTTCGTTTCACTACACTGCAAGGGTAACGAAAGAGAAACCGAGAGAGCGTGGGGAAAGAGAAAACGTGAGAGAGATATGTAGAAGGAATCAGAATAACAGTGCAATTGCAGAAAAAAAAAATCAAAACTTTGACTTGGAAGCCCATATTTCTTCGTCGGAGAGGATTTCTTCGTTGTGCTTGAGGAAATTGATTGGACTCATGATTAGGTTTTGGAAAATTATACAGAGCAAGAAGATGGAAATTAGGCGGAGACATGGGGAATCAGGCGAAGTAATCGAAAAAGAAGGGAAGGGAGAGGAAACGAGAAACTTAATTAGGTGGAGAAGATGGGAATCGGGTGGAGCAATCGAAGAAGAATGGAAGGGAGAGGAAACGAGAAACCCCAAAATAAGGGCCTTACCGATTTCCAATGTGTTAAAAGTCACTGCCCTCTATCAAAAGCCATCCTGACACACCCCGACCCGAATTAGGGCATGCTGGCCATCACGTGAGGCTGACGTAGCCACGTGCATAGTGTAGAAACAATAATGATAATAGAGAATACGAATAAATGAAAACCAACTCATGAGAGTACTAGTTAAGACAAGTGCTAGAATATGCGTGAATACACAATCAGAGTGTAAGTAGCCTAAATTCAGTCCAGAAAACAAGTACTAATTAAACGACACCCAAAGATGCCCTACATTTGTGATAGTCTATCAGAACCTCCAATCAATCCTCGTGAGCCACCAACGAACAAGCTCATCTAAAACCTGGAGGGGCGCAAAACAAAAAGTGTGAGTGGGTAAAAACAAAGCTTTTCAAAACTATTTCATTTATCAAGTGCTCTAACCCCTCGCCGTAAAACATTCATGCTTCACATATCCATATTCATAAGTATGCCATGCCAAAAATATAAAACAGAATAAGTAACTCAGGTGAAAATAAATTCATGGAAAATAACATATTAACTAGAACCCCTACAGAAGTCTGTACGGCTGAATTCATAGTTCATTAGTCAATCTAGCCGGAGTCAGCGCAAGTGACCTATACGACACTACACTGCACACGAGTCGGAACCACTGTAAGGGTCTGTACGACAAGACTGGGTGTAATATAATTATGCTCAATGCTACGCTCTCATGATAGTTGTGCGATAAATCGCTAATCACTTACGAGTCGGAACCACCTATAATGGTATGTACGACAAGACTGTGCACCTAAATTGGATCCAATGTGAGCATATGGTGCGGGAGGTGACATCATAAACAGGCCTGTACCATATCTCTGACTAAATCACAATCACTCAGGGTGCAGGTTTATGAGCTCTCAATCACGTCTCACATTATCAATATCTCATATAACAAAACATACTCACCTGGTACTTACTTGAGCGTCCACAACACCAATTCATATTATGCATCATATACTAATTCATATGCTAAATATAAATTTATATGCAACATTTCAAAGCATACTTTCATTTAAACACATTTTATGGGAAAATATCAAGTATATAAATATATACTGAAAACCAAAAGCCCACTCACTGGTATGTTGAAGGGTCGTAGCCCCCGAGTCGCCCTTGACTGCACTCGTCTTCGGGATAGGTCTCACTTATATGCGAAATAACTGAATAAACGTTATTTAAAGCACATAGACAAAACTATTAATAACTTCTCATACATTGCTTAAATTGGATGTTTGAATAAACCAACATGATCTACACAACCTTACGAACATCCCTATATTTTGAGAAAAACTTTTTGACCACCAACGCGTTGCCACGCGCCAGAGGAGGCACGGCCCTACGCGCCCCCACGCGCGGCCAAACCTTAACTGAGGCCTAACAACCGTTAGGAATATTCTGTTAAATTTAAGGAATATTCCGTTAAAATCAACTAACACAGTTATTTTCCGTTAGGAATATTCCGTCGTCCCCTACCTTCGAACTTCAGCGACCGTTGCCGTCGCCGGAAACTGAAAAAATATATAAAACCTCATATCTCTCTCATTTATGCACCAAATCCCATGAAATCTTCACCAAAATGAAGCTTACAACATAAGGAACAAAACCTAACCACTTTTGGGACCTAAAATCCTCAAGAATTTGCCGAATATCCTTCGATAATCCGGCCAAACCTTGAACTCGTCGATCTCCACTTCCCAACGTCAAATTCTCTTGGTTTTTCTTCTTCGAGCCTCGTAAGGATTATCCAAAGCTCCCTAAGTCCTTAAAAATTCCTAAAAACCTCACAATTACGAGTGCATAACAGTGCATGAATTCGGCGGTTGTGGTTTCTCGAGAACACGAAGGTTTCTCGATCTAAAAAGGGTATGGATGAACTCAAAATCTTACAAGGAGTTCGAATATTACTTGGTTGACGTCGATCCGTGCACGAAGTGTGAGTTTGGTGTTCGTCCGTACGTTTTTTACGGAAATGGTAGGAAGGCTGAGAGAAGGAGAGAGAGAGAGAGTGCACAGGGGGTTTGGTGTGTGTGTGGTCCTCACTTGGTCACCAACCAAAACCAACAAAAGTAAACTTAGTCCTAATTAGGTCCAAACAATTAGGACTTAAGATAATTGGCCCATTTCACATACTCACAATCCAACGCTCAAGGGCAAAATCGATATTTCATGCCATCGATAAAAATAATTCGGGATGGGTTGTCACACATCCCCTCTATCAGATCGATTTCCAAGGCGTCAAAAGCACTGGGCTTATGAATTATATTTAAAAAAGTTACCTACTCCGTTATTAAACAAATATATTATATATTATTATCTACTAATTTTTTTTTCAAATTATGTACTTAAAATTCTTTACATTACCTATATATCTCTCTTTTTTTAAAAAAAAAATAACGTGTTACATTACCTATATATCCTTACTGTTTTTTAAATATTGAACTTGTTGGATGGATGTACTTTATATATTTTCTACTTCTATTTTGCATTTATCATTCTTCTATTATTCATACAAGTATATTTTTTTAAGTGTAGATAGACATTTATTTACAAGATATATAATAAATTTACATAAATCTGCCTAGGCCGCCTAGGCACCCGCCTAGACCCCACCTAGCCGCCTAGGCGTCTAGGCGCTAAGCCCCTACCCACCTCCTAACTAGCACCTAACGTTTTTTAGAACCTTGGAACTTGAAGCCATTGTACAAAATAGCTCGGACTATAAACCAAAATATGAATAAGTTGGGACTCTAACCCAAAACATGAATAAGTTGGGATTCTAACCCAATACATGAATAAGTTGGGACTCTAACCCTAAATAATAGTTAAGTTTGAAATTTAACGTACGTCATGACAATAATGTATATACGGTCGTACGAGTAAGGCGCTAGATGTGAGTACATGCCTACGAAATAGTGTATAAGATCATAATCCAAAACGATTACCAAATACAAGATCATGCCTAGTAGTGAAAGCAGTATCTCAAAGAATCGTTTTTATAAAAAATCATCAGCTAAATCATGTTTCCAACAGTAAACCAAGTATAGGAATGATCATAATCATAATCATATTTAAAATCATTTATATAGATTTGTATATAATGAAAACCATTTTTGAAATCAAATTTCCACTCACCTCCAGCTAGCTCTCGCTTGATAGCCTGGTCTTTACCAATCTTGGTTAACTTTGTATCTAGACTGAATCATAATAATATCACGTCATGAATTCGGAGACCTGATACACCATTTAATTTCATTTAATCTTATGGTTGCATCTAATTTTCAAGTTAAACTGCTTACGTAC